TCCCTGACTACGTTCCTGTATTTCTCCCAGGGGGCCTGTCCTTTTTTCCGCATTCTGTATACCGCTGCCTTCTGCTTGAGCATTGCCACAAGCTCCCTGCTCACCCACGCAGGTCTCCTGCCCCCTCTGCCTGACTTCTTACACACAGGGATGCACTGTTGCTGGACGTGGAGGAAGTGCCACTTGAAAACCAACGAGCTCTCTTGGGCCCCTCTTCCTTCTAGAGCACTAGCCCATGGAATTCTTCTGAGGAGGTCTCTGAAGAGGCTAAAGTTGGCCCTCCTGAAGTCCATCGTTGCAAGGCTACTTACAGCCCTGCCTCCTCCTCGTTGAATCCTGAACTCCACCAACTCATGGTCACTGCAGCCGAGGCTACCCCCCACCTTCACATCTCCTCTCTATTTGTTAGCACGAAATTAAATGTTATAAATGCTATGCAGGAAGAACATAGCCAGGACATCTGTGGCAGAGAAGCTTTAAACTCTCCCATCTGTGATATGTAACATAGCTAATGGACAAACAGAGAATACTGTTTGCCTTCCCTAGTAAAATCACTCCTGACAGCAGAGTATACTAGCTGGTTTATATCAAAAGAGAAGCCCATGAATGATCATTCAGTATTAGAAAGATCCTTCAAGGCTGTTCTGGAGAAAGGGAACACACACTTGCATGTACACATATGCGTAAAGGAGCTTGCAGAAATAGGTGAGCAGATGCTTGCTCTCCAAGGTTGAATGCCTTGAACCGTCCAGAACGGATGGCCTTAGCGTCCTGCTCTCAAGCCTGCTAAAGGCCTCCAGATGAGTGGCAATGCTCTGTCAAGATCACACTGGAAAGATTTCACTGCTGAGATCTTAACTGGCATTTGAAATTTAAAACCATAGTAGTTGGTAACTCAGAATAACTAGGGATGTTCTCAGTTGTCTTGCTGCTCCACTGCAGGTGGAGCTCCTGTGGGAGCACACATCCCTCCAAACAGGTCTTGGGCTGGAGAGTGTCAGAAACTTCTGCTGGAGGGTGACAGCAATGCCACCTGCAGAGCTGTGCTCTGGTTGAGTCACTGGACTGCCAGGTAAAGGAGCTGAGGGATAGGCTGAGCAGACCCTGCAGTCCAAGGCAGAACAAGGGAAGCACTGAAGGATCCTCAGAGGGGGCAGGGGCAAGAGCCCATTTGCACAGGAAGAGGGATGCCCAGAGGCTGTGTTCAAGCATAGGGAAAACAGGGACCACACAACAGTGATCAACAGAAAGACTTCTGGCAACAGGAGGACTCCTTCTCTACCTGCAGATGTTAAGCTGTTACCTTATGCATAGTGGAGTGTAAGCAAAAGTGTGAGTTCCCATGTCAGAGAGGGCCCTCATTTTTACATGTTTTTAGCCCCATAAAAATAACACCAACCAGAAGCCCCTATCAGTATTTGGTGCCAGATTTTGCTGTCCTCTTTCACTGACTCACTCCCAGAAACAATCCTAAATAAGTATGTAAAATTAGTAATATATTAAATGTAATTGCACAAATCAGTAACAAAGTGATTTATAAACAGTAGCCCATCAATTCATAACCCTAGTTTTACAGCAATATGCCACTTTATTTACATACCTCTTCCTTCCATTTAGCAGGTCATAAAGCTGTCCACAGTAGATCTCATAAAAACTGATTAAGACAAGGAGATCTTTCCTTGATTGTGGTGCTTCCAGGTGTCTGAAGATGTCCTTGGCAGCCAAGGCATACAGGCCTGGGTTCCGGTGAGTACCTATCATAGTGTAAGTCTTGCCAGCACCAGTCTGTCCATATGCAAAGCACGTTGCATTGCCTCTGTAATGATAAATCATATTTTTAGTGCCACATCTGCTGTATTCATGTCTATTAAAAGAGATTCTGCAATGTAAATACATAGAGATGATCCTCAGCAATGAGGCTTGGTTTGCACCTCCATCTGGGAAACTGCAAAACATCTAACAGCAACTCCCAAGCACATCCTATGGAGAGCTGGCATGTCACAGAGTGCTGGTTCTCTTGCTTTTTTCCTGATGCCAAAAATGCATTTACAGAAGCTAGTGACACATTAATATTTTTCCAACTGTTTAGATGCTACAGAGATATTGCAGGATTATGAATGGGAATCCTTTTGATTATGAATCACAAAAAAATGCCCATGACAAAAGCATGAAACAGCCACAAGTCAGGTTCTGTATTAACAGACAGTGTTCTCCAAAATTAAGGCCCAAGCACTATAAATGCCTGAGCAAAGTCAGTTTATTACAAGCTGCAGCCCTGCATGCAGGCAAGTCAATCTGGCAACTTGTTGCTGCCTAGAGGAAGGTTTTGCTGTTCCATTCCTCTGCTGTTAGTTGTGTGACCTACAGCATCCTCTGTGCTGGCTCTGACCTTTGATTTTATGTTACTGAAACAGCAGAAAGCTTCCCTATTTTTCAGGTTATTTTTCTGCTGTTTCAGTGGAGTAAAGGAACTCTTGCGGGATCACAAAACATTTCAAACTGGCTTCATTTTACCCGTTAGAGTGTGGCTAGGTGGAGGGAAAGGAAGGTGATCATTCCCTTTCAGTGGCAGGGAGGTGTTAGGTACCCACATGTCAGCTCTGAGGGTTCCTAAAACACTAAGTTTGTTCCAGGTTACTGCATCTTTTTGATCATGTTACTTTAACATTATAAGAGAGATGCTAATAAAACATCAAGCAGGTTATGGCTCTGCAGCCTTGCAAGCCCTTCAGGGGGAAGCTGAGAAAAAACAGCAGCTTCTCTTTTGGTGACATGACTGGCTTTGTTGTAATGCGAATCTCTGTAGTGATTATTATATAGCAGGCAAAAAACCTTATTCTCCCTCTTTCACTTTTCTTTCCTCAATAGCATGATGCTGTTTCTCTGCTGATGATACTTAAGAGAATTTTAGTAACAGAAAGCTCATTTTATCAGTGTTCAGCATGGACATGTCATTCTTGTCTTCAAAGATGCAAAATATAATTATACTCACGCTTGTTACATTGCATGAAAATAAGATTATCTATGTACAGTCACCATCAATTTTCTGTTAATCAGGAAGCATATAATTACTATTAACCCTCTAAAAATACAAATCAATAATATAAAAATAAACCACAAGCTTCTTACAGTTTCTATTTCCATGTGAACTGTACAAGTACATGGAAAACTATCTCACGATCACCTCATGAAAAGAGCTAATATCGTTTCTCTATAGATGAGTAAATCAAGGCATTAGACAGTTTGCTCTATACCACACAGAAGTATTTGTTAGCAGAGAGCTTAGACTCAAGGAACCCTAACACCTTTTTTGTTTCGTTTTGTTCTAGATAGTCCATCTTGTCTCCTTGTTATAGCTGAGTCCCAGTTTTCATTTCTTCTCATTGAATGTGAAGAATCTTTTTCCTGATTTATTTTATCAAAATCGCAGGCCAAATGGGAAGGACATGGGGGAAAGGAGAAACGAATGTACTTGCAAAAGATGAAAGAGTAAAAGGAAAACTAAAACAATATATGAAATTGGAAAACAAAAAGGTAGAAAATAAAAATGTATGCACTGATGCCCTACCCGTTGAAAATATGCTGAATGAGAGGATGAGCTGTCTTCATATACACATCCTGATTGGTACATGACTCCCCAAAGACTTCATCAAAATAAAAGACATGCTGAAAAATAAACATGATCTTTACATGAAAAGGAATATGTCTTACTTCACCCTCATTACAAGACAAATTATAAGACGAGAAGTTATTACATGGATTTACAGTATGGATATGGCCTTCCATGACATAATTCCTATTGGCCAATATGGATTTAGAGCAAGATTTCTGTTACCAGAACGAAACAAACTAGCAGTTATTTCAGTGCTGGGATACCACAGTGACAGGCACCACACAAATGCCAAATATAGAGGAGGGAGTGGGGTGGAATGGCTGCATGTGTCACACTGTAAAAGGTGGTATATGAACCAGGCTGGAGAGCTTCAAACTGATTTTTTACTGGATACTCTGAACAGTTGTTCCCAGGACCCAGACTGTAAAAATAACACCAAGCAGAGAGAGCAGGACTTGCTGCTCTCTAGAAATCAGTTCTGTCCCTGGTGCTGTCGGTCAAAACTGAGAATTTGAACTATGACAGCACAAGATCCTTGGGATTTAGAAACAAAGGCAAAAGGAGAACTTAATTTTCAGACATATTTGAGAACTAGGAAGGGGAGAGGGTGAAGGTATAAGTGATTCATTGGAACAAAATACAATGTTGAAATAGCATGAAAAGGAAATTCCCCACTGAAGTACCTTGGAAAGCTTTTAGGTGACTCAGCAGTAGGCAGTTCTAGTGCAACAGTGGCATTAGCAGAGGGTTTTATTTTGTCAGGGGCAAAGCAAGCTGCAAGAGACATGCTTTGGGGGACATAAAATGCTCAAGTTTTCACCACAAGCTGGTACAAATCAGGAGCAATTCAAATACAGTCAAGTTGAGCTGATAGAAGAGCCCACCAACTATTTTATGCAAGCAATACAAACCACCTTTTTGTGTTTCCCCTCAATGAAATCCCAAGGTGATTCCTGTCTGTGTCCATCCTTAGCACAATTTGCTTTATCCCACAATGCAAGTGACTGGCCCATAAACATAAAATGTTAACGCAGCACATTACCTGTAAAATATACTGTGTGAGATCAACTGCCTCCTTCTTCTCATGAAGAAGTAGAGTTTCTTTATTTTTCACTGTGATGATGTTAACCTCCCCACGTCGCTCCTCTCTTAGGCCCAGGGGACGTTTTCGGACACACACTCGGATTTTTTCGCTCTCTGTCCACGGAGTTTCCTTCTCAGAGGTGCTCGATCTACAACAACATGGAAGTTTTGTATTTTAAAACCAAGCTACTACACATTGCAGAATATATATAAATATAACTTGGATTTCTAGCTTTACCAGATAAATATTTCTGTCACCTTCACTCAAAAAAACTCTCCTTGTGACATGGTGCAGATTCTGCTGTTTGCTTGATTTTGTTTGTTTTTGTAAATAGACTAACAACTTTTGTCCACTTCATTAAAATAATAGTAATGTTTCTATAGCTATGTTCCTGAGCTTGTTGCTGGACTGTCATATCTTCAATTGTCCAGAAACATATGCTCTAAACTGGCAAAACATACAACTTTACTTAAACTTTCTTGCTGGAATTATTCTCAGGAGTTATTAGTCCTTTAATTCTGTTAATTATAAAAGTGTCTGTCTATAAAAGTGTCTGTCAGACTTAAAAGTCTCTTAAGTATAATAGTATAAACAGATCTTGAAAAGAATATTTAGTTACTTTTCTCCTTATACCGACTTCTGTTCATTTAGTTATAAGCTGTCAGGTGTGTTGCAAGTAGATGTTTCAGGTCAGGAACCTAGACAGTGTTACCACGTTTTTACTCACTTCAAAGAAAACTCGAAATATCGATCTCTTCATTATCTCCTCTTTGGTCTTCTATCCAACTTATTCTTTTTACCATAAAATTATGCTCTTTTGCAGAGCAGGCAAGTTGTGCTCTTGCGCTTTGGCAAGTCTATTTCAGTTCCCTTCCAGACACCTTGGATGAATGAAGTCATTTCTCATTTTATATTAATTGAACTGCTGGGTAAGTCATTTTGCAATGCAGCACAAGGAATATGCTTGAATTTAACTGAACATATTCATTTCACTTTCCCTTTTTCAAGCTGCCTTCAACCAAATAAATAATGATTTTCTGCCTGGATTTGAATGTCAAATGGTCAGAAACAATTTAGTCAAGTCCTGACTTACCTAAAAGTACTATTTCTGCCATGCTATCCAAGTGCCCTTCCACAATCTCTTAATGTTGTGATTAAAAACCAATACAGACTAATACAGACTACAGACCAATACAGACTACAGTCTACTAAATTAAAAAAAAAAACACAGCAAAGGTACGAGTTATTCAATATCACATTACAACTACAAGCTTGTAATGTCATTGCTGCTGTGCTGCATGATTCCTCAGAAGCGCTCAATATGCAGGCAGAAATCTCAAGATGTAGTCTTCAAAGAGTTCACACAAGGAATTTTTTCTTGAGTCTGTATTCCCATTAATTTTAGCATGGTTTTCCTATGGTGACCAGGATGAGGCCCTGTATTTTAGATGGAAATGTCTTTCCCCTGAAACACCAAGATACATGAAATAAGATACTTCAGCTTATAAGCCACTATAAGCTTATGGATATCAGTGGCACCAGATGTTGCCAACAAATGATGAGACACTTACTTCTCATTTCACCAGAGGCTGAATTTGGTTATCTGTGTGGAAAGCTTTGGAGCTTAAGGGAGAAAGGACTGATTACAACATTTGGAGAATGGAAAAACTGAAAATGTGGTCATTCTGTTTATGCCAGAAAACGCATAAATTATTTCTTGTAGAGGTGCACATTTATTTGCAAGTATCTTGTACAGGGACACAGTATATTTGAATTCTGTATGCTGAATGCCAAGTTTAATTTTCTATTAACTTTCCCTAAATAGAAATTATATTTTACGACAAGATATACTTGTATATTATTTGGAAAAAAATACTCAAAAAATATCGTTAGAAACCTAATTAGACAAAAGCCAGCAGAACCCCATGTCCTATCTGCTGACATGAAAATTAAGTGATTTGCTGTAGGCAAATGGAAAATATATTTAAGCATATTTAAAAAGTTATTTATCTTTCCTCAGTCTTAAATTGACCCACTGTCCACGGATACTTGTAGGTGAGACTAGATTGGTCTTAACAGCGGCCAAATCCCAAGGTGACTCGGGAAGGGATTCCGTGAAGATGGACACTCGCAAGTCAGGAGCCACCAGCCCAAGAGCGCGCAGGCTGGCGCTGAGCCTGGAATGCAGAGCATGTGCTCTGCACCCTAAGCAGGAAAGAGAAACTCAGGCATGTCAGGAGGATGCAGGAAGCCCATGGGATGAACCCCAGTGCTAAGCACAGAGGAATGTGCTCAGGGGAACAAGGGAAGAAAGTGAGAACAATGGAGAGCTTGGCCCTGGTGTAGGATTCTGGATCTCAAACTCCTCCAGCTGGTCCATTAGGTTATATTTTATTTTTCACTTTCCAACCCTATGAACTCTGGTCTTTCTGTTGCACCTTGGCTTGGTTTCCAGAGGGGACACAGAATGTACCAAGATGCCAACTCTGTACTTAGGTTAGTGGATTCCTCTGAAAGGCAGGAGTGGCGGCAGTGAAATCTTTCCCTGGTCTAAATACTGATCTCTCATATCACAGTAAGTGCTCTAACTGTGAGGGACCCCAGTGCTTTCCCACTGCGGCAGCAGCATCTGCTCCATCCAGGCTTTGCACATCCTCAACCGAGCTGTGATCAATCCTGACTCCATGGATCCTTCCATACTCCATTTTTCCCACCACATCACACAGCTCCTTTGCCTGCAGGAAGTGGTAACCACCCAATAAGCCAATTAAAGTTATATTGTGCATTAAAAATATTCCTGGGCTGATTTACCAGGGGGCCAAGATAACTGTAGCCCCCTGTTAGCAATACTGGGAACAGTGTGAATGTTGCAGAACATGTGCCCAGGGAGCAGCTGCAAGCTTCCCTGTCACCACTGTCTGTATCCAACCCTAGTTACACATTTCTTTTTAAAGCTCTAGTTCAAAAACTGACATAGAAATGTAACTATCAGAGTATCCATCATTTTTACTGAAAAAAAAAAAGCTTTGCAGATTTACCATCAGCAGGTAATGCTATATTTTGGAAACTAATATTTTGCAAGATAGATGGAAAAAAAAAAAGAGAGAAAAAAAGACTGGCCAAAACATCAGGAAAACAAAGGCTTATATCCTACAAGACAGTGAAAACTATTCTTAAACAATCTTGGAAAGTAGCAGCTGGTGAATTCAAATGATTCTTTCTACTGGAGGTGGAGATTGTGAAGTATTTGTTACAACATCCCCTCCCTATAAGACCTTATACTTTCTATACAACTTTAGTAGGATTACAGTTTGTGTATTTGAATTTGATAAAGACAGATTCTCTTCCCCAGTGCAGAAATTACTAATTAAGATTAACTTGAAATATGGTAAAATAAAGGGGATGAATTATTACCTGATGCAAGAATGAGGTAGTCCATAATTATACCCTGAAATATGAGTTATTCTTTGTATTATGGGAGTTTCAGAATCCCCCAAGAGAGGAGCAATATCATCAGATACTGTAGTATGGTCTAGTTCATTTTTTGTGCATATTCCAGGAGTATTTAAGTCTCTTCTAGTTATTCTAATCAGCTCTGAATCATGTGGTGGAATGTGTCCCAGCATTTCCACTAGACTGTCCCTTTCTTCATTGGCACAGAAATCAGATGGACCGTATGATTCAAGTTCAGAGTCCTTAGCAGCTCCAGCATTTTTATCAAAGAAGGACTCAAAATGCAGTTGTCTGCGGGGACCTGATCTGGTCACCTGAGGCTCAACAATAAGGCCACTTGTTTGGAAATCTTGCTTGTGTAAGTCCGCTCTGTCTTCCTCTTCTTGCATAATTTTGATTATTCTAATGAGCTGAAACAGACGTTTGCGGTCATTCATGTTGTGGACTCCCAGTTTGGTATAATCCTTCATGGAAACCTTGGCAAGCTCGTCGATCTTCTGAAGACCAAAAGCAGCAAAATGGGGATAGTATTTCTCAAGTTCTGCCTCACAAAGGCATTCATAAAGGCATGATGCCATCTTCAAGCTAAAGTCTACAAGAAATCAAACAGAGGAAATATTAGATTCGTATGAAATATCATGGCTAACAAAGTTATTATCGAAGTAACTACACATTTCCCCAAATGAAACCGTATTTTAAAATGATAGAGAAGTGCACAATACACATTTACTTACTGCTGCAGAGCTCCTACACGTCTGATGTCTACTTGATAAATGCCACAGCTACTGAAACCCTGTCCTTAAGCTACAGAATGTAAAATGCCTAATTTTAGATACTCAACTTAATATCAGGGCATGTGGTCTAGTGTGGTTCTGCAGCTATCCTTGGTTAGCTAACCAAAGGAAAGAAATTGCATTTGTCCTCACCTCAGATTGAGTTATTAAGACTGTTCCAAGATCTTATAGATGAACTACAGCAAAGTTGTCATTTTACGTTTCCCGTAAGAGTAACTTTCTACTAAATTTCATGCATCTTGTGAGCACTTCTAAGTATACTTGATAGAATATCCAAAATATTATGCAAAACCTGAAACATAGGATTTATCTGAATCTGTATTTGCTACTGGAAGTCTGTATTGTATTCTTGGGAAACCCAGAAAACTGACAGGCATGACTGAAAAGTTAGTGACAAAAAAATCCTAAACACATGTATTCCTAACAATTCATTTTGATGCTGTTTGTAACCAGCTGTATTGTACAGCTGTATATCTGTATACTGGCAGATATTTTTACTTATTCTGTAAAATGGAAAAATGATAGCACTTCAAATATCCATTGCTCATTGCCTGCTTACTCGTTTGTCCAGTCTAGGACCTTAGTAATTACAAATCTTTCTCAATTTAGGAAGTGCCAATATCATTCAACAAAAACAAGTTACTTAAGACAAAAGGTTTTTAGACCCCCCTGTAATGCAGGATAAGTTCTTTAGCATTTTTTACAGGCATCTCTACAATAATATTGTATAAGAAAATAAGGCCATTACATATTACCCCAAGGCTGATTTTATGTCATTGAAGTTATTACACACACAATTGTAATAAAAATAGCAAAATAATAAAGTTTCTATTAAAATGCTGTTTGCATAAGATATGAGAAAAGCCAAAAGATGCAGTACAGGCCAACTAAAACAATTTTGCAACTGGCACCTAAGCTGTAAGTAGTGGTTAACCATAATAAAATTATGTGAGTCAGTAGCAACAAGCTTCAAGATAAAACAAGTGTTACACAGGCAGACTTTTTGGTGCACATGTGATGCAAATCTGAGCCTTGAGGTAAAGCCAGAGCTGCTGCTGCTGTGGTTATTATCCAGCAAGGGGAAAACAAAACCCACAATGAGGATGGTGAATCCAAAGATCACACAGTTTAACCATTACACATGCATAAAATCTCTCACAAACATTCACAATTTCCCAAAGTCTTTAACATCTGCGATTGCACAAGAGCTTTTTCATTTAGAGAATGTTTTTGAAAAATGCATCTTACATAAGATATTTAAAAAGATAAAACAGGTCCTCTGAAAAAACTGTTTTTGCTCTGCCAGAGGAAACCTCTTTTGTTTGATAAAAGGAGCAGATTCCTCTCACCCATTCTTGCTACGAATTCTAAGTTATATTTACATCATTGCATAAGCTTTAGTTAAGAACAGACCAATAAAATGTGCAAAATCTAATCCCATGTTGACTTCTACTTGAATGACCATGTTGGGCATAACCTTCTGGAGAGGAGAAAAAATGAGAAAGAAGAAAAAGGAGACATTTTTCCAAAGTGCAAGCAACAGACAAGAGTGGAAACAATTAATTACCCACAATTCAACATGGAGTGAGATTGCATATTAAAGGAATCCGGGAAAGTTTTTGAAGAGTTTTGGAAAGCTTTTATTCAATTGATTGTATTAAGTCACAATTTGAAGCTTAGTGTTCAAAGTACTTAGCTTCTTATAAGGATGCTTGTATAGGCCTCTGTTTACCAAAGTTGTTTAACCCTTTAATCAGACTTCAGCTGCTTATCTGGACTCCGTTGGAGGTAATGCTGGAGCCACGAAAATGATTAAGGGACTGGAGCATCTCTCATATGAGGAAAGACTAAGCAAGCTGGGCCTGTTGAGCCTGGAGAAGAGAAGGCTGAGAGGAGATTTGATCAACATGTTCAAGTACCTGAGGGGTGATTGTAGGGAGGATGGGACCAGGCTCTTCTCCGTGTTTGCCAGTGACAGGACAAGGGGTAATGGGTGTAAGTTGAAACACAGGAAGTTCTCCCTTCATGTGAGGAAGAACTCCTTTACCATGAGGGTGACAGAGCCCTGGCTGCCCAGAGAGGTTGTGGAGACTCCTTCTCTGGAGATCTTCCAAACCCCCCTGGATGCCACCCTGTGCCACGTGCTCTAGGTGTCCCTCCTGGATCAGGGGGGTTGGACTAGATGATCTCTAGAGGTCCCTTCCAACCTTAACCATTCTGTGATTCTGTGATAATTAAATACCCATAAATTACTATACATTTGTTTTTTCAATGGAAGCTAGCCCTGAAAGTAATAAAAGTACTTTATCTGCCCTCAGATAAAATAAATACTACTGGATCTAAGTGATTCCAGAAGCTCACTACAGTGTCTCTCCATTTATGGAACAACTATTTCACAATCCAGGAAAATTTAACATTGACTGATAACGGTGTAACAAGTTAATTAACCTTAGGAAAAATAGAAGTCATGATATGTTCCATCATTTCTGATAATTCTAAAACTCAAGCATAGACAGTCTTCTAAAGTATTTTGTCTGATACAAACAAAAGATAATTCAGGGGAAATACAGCTCTCAAAGCAGATGATCATAATAAAATCTCCTGGCCTTCTGATCAGCAATGTTCTAAAAGAATGGAGTGCCTTTCTGCACCCAAAAGAAGGGTTTGATTCACCTAATGTTTTAGACATAAAAAACACTGCCTATACTGCTTCTCAAACAGAAACACAATTTTTCAAAGTAAATCAGCTTTGTAAAGAAGCAAGGAATGCATTCAAGAATTCTAAACTGTTAATGATAATGCCATCTTCTGGCAAAAAAAGGGGAAAAGCTTTGCTTTTCTACAATGAGTAACAGCCAGCATTCTCCCAGTTATTGCCAGGATCTAATTTTGTTTGTTCATGTGAGCCAACACTGCTTTCTGGTGCATAAAAACACAGCATTCTTCAAAGTGATTGCTTCATAAGCCCAAGTTTTGCTTTCAGCAATGCTGGTGACTTCCCTGAAAACAGGTTTGAGACAGAATTCTTAAACTTCTTAAAATAGCTGGATATAACATGCTTTGAGGAAGAAGGAAATCAATTTGGAAGCAGAATTCTCTACAAGCACCTAAATGCAAGGCCAAATAGCCTCAGCCTTAGGAATTTTTCATTCAATCTGTATTGTAACAGAGAGCATAATTTGTTACAGCTCAGTGGTTGATGTTCTCATTTTAACTGAGACAAAGATTCAGTTTCTCTATGAAATATTCACGTTCCTCTCAAACAAGGGACCTGCTTTTGCTCTGACAAGAAGGTGCTGCAGCAGGTTAGTCATGCGAACAGTGAAACTAGTTAAGGCCAAAACATTTTCATTACTAATAAACAAGATAGCTGTGAAGGAGAAACAGGTAGCCATTATATCCTTAAAAATGAAACACATTTGATGTTTAAATATTGGGATACCTGGATTAGGGGACCCATCAGCTATTGCCTTTATGTGGCAAATTGGAGTTCTCTACAACTTATTTCTTATACACAAGAATCTTGAAAAGCTCCCAAAAGTCTGCCAGGCTCTGGTAATGAGTAAATATCCACTGTAAACTGCACTGGAATTCAGTGTAAAGGGACCAACACAAAGCACAGATTAATTTCATAGTATGTCATCAGGGAAGAACTGCACTGTTTCACAATGGGAGTTTTCAAAGACCATAAAGCTGAGGAAGAAAAGGGCATATATAGGAGAAACTAGTAGAAACCAGTGATTATATCTTATGAATCCTGAAGGGAATAAACTTACCACAGAATTCTGCTCTAGGAGCTAACCTTCCATTTTAAAATGCTTTTAATTATTAATTGGCTCTTACACAGATCTTTTCACTCACAAAATACTTTTCAAAGTGGAGAAAAAGGTGGCTTTCAAAAAGATACTCACACAGTGGCTGTAAGTCATTGTGCACAAACTAAAGCATGTAAAATACCCACATCCACTATTTTGAGAATAAAGCAGCCTTAAACCATTATATCTTGATCCTTTTTAATCTCTGCTGTAGCAAAGAATTCTGTGCACTGTGCACTTGAATAACACTCACATGCACAACTGTGTTATCCCAGCACAGCTCACTCATACTTATCAGATGAGACATGATGCAAGTATCACTATAACTATACTTTAAAGTAGGGAAATGAATTCATGGCAAAGCGAAGAGATCTTACGTAGCACTCAAAACCTTCAAATGTCAATTAGTGCAAGTGTATCTTTAATTCTGCAAATAATCTAGGTTTATCATTCTGAATCAAAAATGCTGGTCTAATCATCAAGTTATTTTATCAGAAACAATTCTCAAAGGCATCAGAGAGAAACAGTAATTTTTTAACCTTACCAGCACTTGATTTTCATACCTATGACTTTGTTTTGTGTCAAACACTAAAGCACCTTTTGCTTTAAAATCACCTTAGAAAAATAAAACCTAAGAACTCAAATGTTTAAGCACATGTAGTGGGTACTTATGTCTCCTCTCCTGCTCACAGCTAATACCAGTGTATTGTACTGTGTCCATTACTGATGGTGACATTACCTCAAAAACGTCTTGAGCACAATGAAGGTCAAGGTGTTTGATGTTTTGTGAGGCATAGAAGAAGAATGAAAACAATCCTTCCTGAGAATGCTGCAATGGAGGAAAGAGAGACTTATTAACCCATGTCAATAATCACTCACCTATGTTTCTGAACATTAAGCTCATTTTTAACTGTAGTCCATATCCGAATTTGATTTAGCCCTTCAGAGAGAACAGCTCATTCGTTTTTCCAGGACACCACACCAAATCATTTTGATCCCCATTCCCTCAAATACTAGAGCATTCCTGGGAAGAGTTATGCCATAATTGTAGCTTTATAAGAGCAAAGCGCTTGCAATAAGAGACGGTCTCTGCTATAAAACAAAAACATGATTTTAGTTTAAGACCAAAGGCAATACATAGTGAGCTTTAAAACAAAGCTTGAAGCACTGACCAGTGCAGCATGTGCACAATATGGATTAAATACCCTTGGCCATTGCAGCAAGTGCAGCAGGCCATTTTGAACAAAACTAGCTAGTAACAGACGACCATCTATAGCATCTGTTTGAGAAAGGGAAATGGAAAAGGAGGAATATACATAACATTAGCTGATAAATGCTTTACAGCTGGACCGTGTAAAGGAACGTCTCTCCCTTCAACAGCATTCCTCCTGCCTTTGTTACTGCTGTGTCTAATGGAGAGCTGGGTACTGGAGCACCAGTTAATCTTGAAGTTCTTTGAAACAGACTTAAAAGTCATGAATAAATATTGTGTGGTGGGTTTTTTGATTGTTTAATTTTTTTTTTAATTTGCGAAAGGCTAGTAATTGCTATGACCGCTATCCCACACTAATGATAGCCCAGTGACCTCAGCAGAGGAGACTCCACAGCCACAGCCGATATGCGACAGCTGCTCGGAGCAGCTGCATGGAAATGGAAGTGTCCAATATTCAATCGCAGCTACAAAAAATAATCTGAGAGTTATATTAGGATGCCGATCATTTGAAAATTGTGCCTGAGTGTCTCTCATGAGCAACATGTACCAAATGGCTTTCAGTTTTTATTTAGTTTTGTTACTGCGTGGAGGCAAACCACCAGCATGCCTGGAGAGCCAGGCGGGCCCCGCTCCCTGCGGCTGCCCCTGTGGTGAGAAACTCGGTATTTAGATTCCCCTGCTCTTATCTGGTCCTAGAATGAGAAACTTTGTATTTAGAGTTTCTTGGAGGGATGAACTTGGCGTTTATGGTTTCCTCCACTGGAGGAAACCCCCAGGTGCCACCATCCATCGGGATCTTCCAGTTATGTTGGCGGGAGGTAAAACCTCAGCATACCCCCACACTGTGGCGTCACTCCCATGCACGATGCGTCTCTATCACAAACTAATAAACAAAAGAATTAATAAACAACCAAATCAAGCGCGTAGACAGCACCAGTGGCCTTCCCCATCCGCCTCCCAGACCGGGCTAAGGCGGCTGGAGCTGCGGGGCCGTTCCCGGGGCGGCC